GCTTTAAAAGCGCTTTTTAAACCGCCCTTTTTTTTCCGCGGTCGTATTTGTCGCGCTGATGATGATGTCACGTACACGCTTTCGTCGGGCGCGCTTTCGTGGACTGCGGTTTTGTCATGCCACGGTGTCAGAGTCCTGTTCCATAAACAGAAGCAGCACTATCAATCTAATAATGCTAATCAGCCATAGGAATCACTAGAAATACTAATTTCAGAATTCCTAGTCCCCAGGACTCACCTGCCCTCAAGCTGCTTATATGAAACAGAATTGTTTTTAAAATCATACATTCAAGTGATTTCGGTTCGGTTAGATTTTTCTCAAAATCAAAGATTCAAGCAAAATAAATGAAATGGCGCATGTATCATAACACACTCTTTGTGGTTGTATTGCATGTTGAGCAACCTCCTTCAACCTGACCCTAAACATGTGGAAAAGACTATACAGAAGAAGGCTGAAATGAGAGTTTTATACTATCTTGCCATAATAAGCAAAAAGGGAACACATTCACAATAAATTGAATATTTGCATTTATTTTACACGATAGTTTTTTTAAGGGATGTTATCTACTAATATGGGCAAATGCGTGTATTTTGTTTCTGACAGATCACCAACTTAGGTAAACCACTGAAAACACTTGGTACAGCTTTCTTGGAAATTATGTGGCCGAAAGAACTGAGAGGAGGCAAGTGGTTGCTCTATTTGGTTTCCATTCATTCGAAGGAATTAGGAGAATTACAGTGTACTCCTCAAAATGAAATAAACCTTTTGAATGTTCAGGTAAATGAGCGTGACTGCATATTTTTCAATTAAAATGGCTGTTCTGTGGTATTTATAAGGGATTGGTGATTGGGTTGGCTCAATCTCAGCTTTTTGAAAAATAGAGAATGAAACACCTCAGGATCTTTGCCAGTTTCTTTGGCATGCTATTTTGGCAAGTCCTGCTGATATTTCACATAATTGGAATGTATGAAAAAAATTTTTTCCTTTTTTTGGATGATCGAATAAAACTTGAAATTACACACATAATCTTGCCTTTGTATCTCAATGGCAAGAATGAGCTCATTTAGACTAGCGATTAAGGCATCAGATTAGAAAGTGGGTGACTGTGAGTTCTAGTCCCACCTTAGCCAAGAAAGTCAGCTGAGTGTCCTTGGCTAGTCACTATCTCTCAGCCCATCCCACCTCACAGGGTTGTTGTAGGGAAAACAGGGGGATGTATGCTGGATATGTTCTTCACCTTGAGTTATTTGTAAAATAAAGGTAGGATACAAATGAAATAAAAATAAATAAATTTCTGGAACACGGGAAAAGATAGCATACAGTATCTGCTTGAATTAGAAACGAAGAATAGAGATAGAAAAGTTTCCCTTCCTTTCTCTTGAGGAAGCCCATACCTGTGCATAAATAACCTGTGGAATGTTCATACTCCTTGCTTTGTAAATTCTGTATGCATTCCGTTAAGCAGCCTCTATCCCAACAAGTTCCATCTTCCTGCTTGTGGCAAGTAAACCCACAACAACATATTTATATGCTACCAGTGTAATTATTTCCTCTTTGGTCCTAGAGGCAGAGTTTGCTAAGTTCTTTATAACCCAGGACTGAGCTACCTGAAAGAACCTGTCCCATGTATGACATGGGTATAACATATGTCACAATGGCATGATACTTTTTTTGTCGTTTACCCTGCCTTAGCACTCTCAATAAAATCTATGAAGACTTTTGAAAACGATATTGAAATGGAAACTTAATAAAAGCTTGTGAACTTGGCTACAGAATTCAAGAGTGAAATCTGCCTTAAACGATTGTTTCTGTTTATTTTTTTAAAATTATCCACAGCGTGCTTTATGTTAACTACTTTTGTACGTCTGTTCATATTTCTAGCGGTCTCGAAATTCTCGGATAAAACGTGAAGTTGCAGAGAAGCAGACAGATGGTAGCAAAAGCTTTTCTTTGTTTTCAGAAAGAAAATCTAAGACATTGGTAAGCACTTATTTAACCAGTGACAAATTGCCTTGTCAACTTCCCCCTCAGTATTTATTTTTGGAACCAGAAATAAGGCGTGTGTCCCAAAATAACCAGAACTCCACACTTGCTTTGTTTCTTTCAGATTTCAGAGTCTACTAAAAGCAGTCTATTGTCAAGTACACCTATTAAATTACACTTAGTACATTCAAAACACCCATATTTAAAATTTCCAAACACCCACAAAAGTTTGAGGGCATCTTAAAGATGCATAGTTTTATGGTGGCACAATTTTTCTCAGATCAGTCCATACAGTGTCATGTTAAGGATTGATTGAAAACTAAATTCTAGTCAGAGACAACTTGAAACATGTAAAGGCTACCTATAGCCATTTGGAGTGAGCCAGTTTGAGGTAGTGGTTAAAGTCCCTAGGCTAGAAGCCAGGCGACAGTGAATTCTAGTCTTGCCTTAGGTGTGAAGTCAACTGGGTGACCTTTGGCTGATCACTTTTGCTCAGCTCTAAGAAGGCATCAAGGGCAAACCATTTCCAAAAATCTTGCTAAGAAAACTGCAGAGACCTGTCCAGGCAGTTTCCAGGAGTCAAGATTGACTCAGACAAAATAAATAAGCCATTGGTAATTTTTTTTAAAAGGCATAAAGATAAAAAGACATGAAAATATATTTTATAAAAATAACCCCCCAGCCTCCTTCATGTATATACACATATACTGAACTTATTCTTCAGTGAAATTAATGGAAGTAGGGATTTATCCAACCAGGTGATTAGAGCAGTAGCACTAAAATAAACTTGAGATCTCTACGGCTGCAATCCTTAAGTTCTAATGAGAACATTAAAAAAAAACTGAGTGATTTTCCTAGGCCTCCTTGTGAGTGTGGAAAGTCCTGCCATTCTTGCCTCTTTGATGCCAGTGGTCTTCATGGTTGGGCAAAATGGGATGTGCAAACAACAGAATGCGAGCAGCTTGGATCCAGTATTTCTGTTCTATAAATTCTCGAGCAAGAGTAAAATTGTGCCATCCATGAACACCTGGATTTCACATTCACTGGAATCCAATCCATGATGTGGGCCATAAGAAACTGAACAAGGAAAATAAGATTTAAAAAAAACTTCTCTTTTTTTCTTCATACAGATGTCCTCTTTCCTCTTATTTTCGTATTGTTTTATCAGTGTTTTTCCATTTGTTTTTTTGGGGAAAAAAACTTGCTGTGTCATAGGACTACACGAACCTTGCAAAACAAATGCTGTATATTTGTTTTTGAGTGAAGGATTTTTTGAAAGCTTTCTGTGTATTACTTGCAGGAATGCAACGAAGAGGCAAACTGCGTCAACATAACATGTTCCTTGCAAGGCTTAGACAGTAAAGCCATAGTAGTACTACGCTCAAGGTTGTGGAACAGCACTTTCCTAGAGGTAGAGTCCATAAACTTTCCTTACACAGATTTGAACTGAGTTCTTGTATTTGTTCTAAAGAAAGCTTCTTTTACTACCCTATAGGAATTCTATAAAATGAATTATCTAGACATTCTTGTTAGAGCTAGAATTGGCCTCTCTGCTGCGGATAACGTCAAGCTGACAAATGAAGCTACGAATGTGAGTCTGCAATATTTCTCTATTTATGGTTGTCGTAAGTGTGAATTGTTGAATGTAAATCCTTTCCCCCTCCCTCCCTCCCATTTCAGTGGGATAGTACAGCACATTCAAACCTGGAAAATTCTAGACACTTTTGGTCACTAATTTCTAGATGTTAGTTACACCTTTTCCTCAAATAGCATTTAGAAATTCATCATTTCCAGAGCTGGTTCCCAAAGAAACTCTGGTACTGTTTAGGCGAGGCAAATGATTCTGCATTGTTCTTGTGAATGAGTAAAATGTTTTAGATCAATAGTGAGCAACCTCAAAAGAAAAAGTGACCTTAAAGCCTCCTTCAGAATGACTCCAATTGCCAAGACCAGCGGCACACCTTGCTACCTTTTTCAGGAGGAAAACTCTAGTGAAAAATCTGAGTTACCACAGATTCTAATAAGAATGTGCAGATTTCAAAAAAAGTAAATGTAGCGAAAGAGGATAGTTCCTTCTATTTTACAATGTGATTGATAAATAATTTGAAAATAGTTTTGCACTGAAATAGTTTGTAATTCAAAGGGAGCCTCTACTTGATACGCTACAAATGTTTGGTTTATAATTCTTGGCAAGGCCAAGAGCCCATCTTTTTGGACATGAAGTTGGGCTCTCGGAATGAAGAATCCAACACATATAAAAGTAACAAAAGTGGATGAAAAACATTGAGTGCTTCAGTATAGATGTAGAATCAGCATCGTAGCACATTGGCTAACTTTTCCCTGTGTAATGACATCTTTTTCTCCTCCTTTTGTAGGTTCGAGTTACCGTCTTTCCTGCAAAAACAGTAGCTTTATATTATGGAGTTCCTTGGTGGATCATCTTGGTTGCTATTCTCACTGGGTTATTAATGCTTGCTTTGTTGGTGTTCTTATTGTGGAAGGTGAGTTATATTTTATCAACATGCTTGTTCCTATTTAATTATTTGAAATGTGCAGAGAACTCTTAATCTTCAGTTCTATATACATTTACCTAAAGTCCCAATAAACTCAGCTGAACTTTATTTGGTCTAGTTGTAGTTGTAGTTGTAGTTAAGTTTATTTATAGGCTGCCCTTTTCCCTGAGGGGACTCAGGGCGGCTAACAACTTATATGGGAGGGGAA